TATATATATTTTTTTTTTAATGGTATTTAGGAATAATACTGACTGTCTTTTTTTTAATTCCCATGACTGGGCAAGGTTATAGGTGTGTCCCCGAATAAGGATTTTCATAGTCAAATCGGAATTTTTGAATCTTGCCGATAGTCGACTGATAGTCGAATCATATGTTTGGGGGTGGGACAAAATACATTACCAAGGGTCAAGTAGTCAGACATTCGATAGTCACAATTACTGACATTAACACACAGGAAAAATGTGTAATGGATGCCTTGCATATACAAAACGGGGTAAATAATGTTTTATGTTTTGATTAATAGATAGTTAACATTAAACGTCAGCGAAACCCTAAGAATTCACAACACTTTTATAATTAGTTATTAATGTTCTGCATTTCTGTTTTGAGCTGCGCATGCTGAAGATGACCAGTAGAATGAAGCATAGCAGGTGTTTAATCAATGGGATTTAACTCATTTAACTTACGATTCGTTATTTATACGACATAACGTTAATATTACGACTTATAGGCTATCTGCACAAAATGCCTCGAGTGCACAAGAACTGCCCGGCTCTGAATTAACTCCTTTTGTGGATGCGTTCTTCACGCAACAACGTGCAACAACACGGCAACTAAACTCTAAAAATTCACAGTATAGTGTTCTCATTATAATGTTATGTATATGACAGTCCCAGTCATAGTTAATGTTCTGCATTGTTGTTTGTCCTGCACGCGCTGAAGAGATAATCACCGTAGTAATACAATGAAGCGCTTTACTGCAGCGTAACTCAACTAAATGCATCTTATACGAGATAAATTATATATACACTATATACAGTGGGTACGGAAAGTATTCAGACCCCCTTAAATTTTTCACTCTTTGTTATATTGCAGTCATTTGCTAAAATCATTAATGGAAAGGGAAACTTAACTTAAATATTCACGCACGTTAAAATATTTATTTAAAGCTTCTTTCTTTTCAGATTCTTATTTACAGCATTATCATAATAGGCTGTATATTAACTTATCGGGAGAAAACCAGTAGTTTTATTTCAAATCAGACATTTGAGCACCCCTTTATAGCCAAAATGGCATGATCATAACACCTCAGTGAATATTCGACTGTGAGATTGATAGTCGAATCAGGCTCCTCCTATCGAAGCATCGAATCTTTGACTATTCGGGGTCACCCCTAGCAGGTTACATTCCTGATCAGCCAAGGGGTTAAATGTAAATTGCTGTTTAGGCAACTTGATTTCATTCAAGCTCTTTCATAGGACAACAGTGTGTGTGTTATAAAGAAAAAGAAAAAAAGAAACAAAGCACATTGTCAATCACATTAGATTTCATTTTACAGGTAAAAAAATAAAAAATAAATTAAAAGTCTGAGGTTGCAGTAAGTGTTTCATAAATCTGTGTTGAGCATTATGTCGTTTTACACTATATAACAGTATATTCATACAGCCCCACTAACATATAGAAATAAATAGAACAAATATATTTCAGATATTTCTTTCTTTCTGTCTACACGCAAAACTGAACAGACAGAGGAAACAGTGGGTAAGACCCTTACAGACATGCATAGATGAGACATTCAAAGACTACCACAATGCTACAACAGCAAGCTGTCGGTAAAGGACTCCGGTTTGATGGCAAATTTGGAAAGCAGGAAGAGCTAATTACAGTCTGCTGTAACAATGTTAACGCCAGCATGTCTTTAAATGCAAGACACCCCACTGGATGAAGAATAAAAGCAAACACAAATAACTAATTATGCCATCATCTTCTCGCTCGTCGCTGGCACTCATTAATTGGTGACCTGCACTATTGGTCAGTAGACAATCGGCATGATGATGAAGCCAATTAGAGACAGAGAGTACACATGCCCCACAGAGCTTGTTATGGCTGCCACATCATGTCTCATCTAAATCAAAACAAATGCTAGGCAAATGTTGGCGTGCCAGCTGCGCCCAGGCACAGACATGGGACATTAGAGCACGGCCAACTTTCTCCCTCTCACTACAATAGCAGTTATTGTGGAGAGGACAGAAGCCTTACAGCATTACAGCAGAGTCTATTTCATCTGCTCAAGTGTCTGACATTGGGCAGGCCAGAGATATTCTTGTCCTTTTACTGTAGACTTTCAGACTTTAGAAACTTTAACACTTTACAACCAGGTTTAACTTCTAAACATAAGTGATTGTATTAGGTACAATGAATTTACTAATCTAAGTTAACATTAATTTATATATTTGTTAACATTGAATACATTAACAAACTAACAATAAAAACACTTATAAAGCATTTGTTAATCTTAATTTCAACATTTACTAATATTATAGAACATTATACATACTAATAAAATAAATGCACGAACTTGTACAAAAGTTGTATTTCAAGTTTGATAAATGAATATTAATTGAAACATGAAACATGAATTAACTATAAACAACAGTATATTTATAAATTAACATTAACCTTGAATGATAAATGCTGTACAAGTCATTTTAGTTCATGAGTTAGTTCACTGAATGTTAATGAACTGAACTTAATTGTAAAGTTAACTGAAATGTAATTCACAATGTGGAAAATTGTCTCGCTTCACAATATTGAACATATTATACAAACATAAAGGCATAAAAAATTGTTATATTAAAAAAAAGAATAATAAAATTATACATAAGCGTGACATGTTAGCAGTACTGGGGGGTAATGGATTACATTGAATCTGGATTACATAATCAGATTACAAAAAAATAAGTACTTGTAATTAGAGTATATTGTATTTAAAAAGCACATAATCAGATTACAGTTACATATTTATGGATTGCATGATTACATATGGCAGTAAATCATTTATAATTTGATTCTCCCTAATTCTTTTTTTTTCTCTTTTAAATTATCCTTTCTAAAAATCCTACTGTATCATACCTTTGACTATTTTCACAAATAAATTTATAAAAATAAATTTGCAAACCATGCTTCTGAGTTTGAGGGAAAATAGCACCTCTCAAGCAATTAGACCATGCATGAAACAAACAATGATGCAAGCTTTTTGTCAGCCAATCCCTTAAAAATATTTAGCCTACTTAAAATTTCTTTCTTTCTCTATTTCATGAATGTGGTAAATTTATGGTAACTTTAAAACATGTTTGATAAAACATTTTTTCTAAAAAGTACTAAGAATACATTACCTAAAACTAGTAACCTAGATTACGTTACTAACTACAGTTTTCATCATGTAATCTGTAATGGACTACAATTTGTAAGTAATCTACCCAGCTCTGCATGTTAGGAATGATTTGTAATATGTTTAGATGTTCATGGGTCTAGATACAGAAAAAAATAAAACATGATGCACTGGTTAAAATGCAAATTTGCATGTTTATGTAGACCAAAACGTTAAAACAGCGCAGACACATTTTTTGTGTGAACATCCTCTAAATCTACCTCAGACAGAGTGACAAACTCAATAACAAAATGGATCACGGTTGACTGTAGGCCAAAATAAAACAAACTATTGTCGTCTAATGCCCTTTTTATGTAATGCATATTCAATACTGCACTCATCTGCCCCAAAAATGGGAAAACGTCAGGTTTGCATTATACAATTACCATGTTTAAAAACAGAATGCATGGTAAAAGATTAACACGGTTTCTAAAATGTCCTGGATTACTTCGTGTAAACTTTTGGATTAGACGCAAACTCTGCATAACTTAAAACGACAAAATCCATAAACACTGTGTTGGTTTCCAGATATTTAAACCAGTGAACTATTTCAACAGCATGCCCACTAAGAATTAAATGCTGGAACTGCTCAATGGTTGTGCTTAAAATGGATCTACTGTGTCATTACGTTGCAGTTTTATTGGAAATTGTTTTACTTGCTTCACATGTGATCATTTATTCATCTCCATCACTCTCAAAATGGCATGTCCTGAAATGTCTTGTCTTATTTATAAGTGGACAGGATGCACAACACTTTATATTCCATTCTCCAATCAGCTTTTTCTCATTTTCCAACCAACAAAATACCCTTCAAACTAAAAACATGCCTGAATGAGGTTAACTCAGTGCATGGTTTTCACTTTTTCTGTCACTTTAATGCTGAAGCAAAATAAGTGACTTCAGCGTCATGCAAACAAAATAAATACCAGCTTATTTTGTCTAAATGTTGACTGTGATAAATAATCTGTTCTTTTTAAACTCTGCATCAAATTATATGAGCATCCACATCCCTATTTGCTTCTCTAACTCTCGGGAAGTAGTGAATATAAAGACCTGGTTCGACCACAAGCTAAATATTTTATGACTGCACAATTACATGAAATCAAATCTTACTAAAGCCATTCCTCCATAAACTCTGAAGAGAATGGAGATGTGTTCGAAGACTAGGATTCGGCCTGCCTCCTTGAAATGCGAGCGAGAGAGAGAAATAATTGTGTGTGCGATGATAATTAAGCGATGGTGACTGTCGTGAACGTGAGCTGTCACTCCGATTGAGAGCACTGTCACGTCGCGTGAAGCAAGGCCGATCGGACAGGCGCTGTCCACTTTGATCTGGGCTCATGCATACAGAAAGAGGTCAGGTCGTGGTCATTAAAAAGACCCTCCTCTAAACAGCCATGCGAGATTGAAAGGCCACGTCTTCAAAGAGCTGCGTACAAGTAACCTCTTAAAAGATTCTGACAATTTGCTACGAACAAACAATGGAAGCTAAGAAGGAGTGGGATGAATTAGCTTACGGTGCCTTAGCCTTTTAAGTTCTTATAGTCATCTGCACAGAAAGGGGAGGGTTACACAAATCATTTACAGGGTCAGGCTGTGTAGTTATTCGGCCACATTACATAAGGTAAAGATGCTTAACCGGCTGCTGGGTTACATGCTAAACCACAGAGAATTTTAGGTATCTAAATCTGGGATACACAGTCAGTTATTTCAGATTATCTCAACTGTCTGTTGATCCTGTATGCGTCTTGGTCTTTCTAGTAAAATCAAAGCACTTACTTGGTCATTTTTCGGCTTGACCACCTTCATGAAAGCTCCACGTGCTTCGGCCTCTGACCGCTCCCACTGTGTCACTCTCCTGGTGTCCAGGAACTTCAGCTTTGTCAGCTTATGTAGCACAAAGTACCTACAGATTGAAAAAAAAAATACAAAGCAGATTTAACTATTCAGCCAGTATGCCAGATCACAGGTTACAAAAGTAACATTTTATGTTGTTTTGGTGCAGTTTTCATAATTTAGTTTTAATACGTTTGAAAATACATTAAAACAGTTAAATAAATAAATAAAAATAAAACAACAACAACAACATTAGAAAACACCAAACCACATACAATGTCATAATGTGATATTTATTTATTTGTTTGTTTATTTATTTATTTGTGGGTTACTTTGGAGGGAAGCAAATGTTCCTTATATAATCCAGTAATTGTAAATATCTTAAGATAATATTTCAGTAATTTGTTTTGCCTTTAGTATACTTCAATTTTGTTTTTTATAATATTATGCTCACAGTAAAATGGGCCTGTACACATGAAAATAAGCTGCCTTTAAATTTTAGGAAGTGCGTATCTTGCATGGAAAAGAAAGAAAACAGACAGATCACAATAAATAAAAGTAACATTTAATAATAAAAAAACATGTAGGGATTAAAACATACTATTTAAATATAAAAAAATTAAAGTACAATGAGAAGATATAAAAAAACAATCTAATACAAAATATTAACCGAATCTATACAAAATATAATATAAAAATCTATAATTTCTTAAAACTATAATTACAGAAGTAGTATTAAAACAATAATAATAAAATAGATCAAAATCCACCATGACAGCAGTTTTAAATGACGAAGAAGAGAACTCATTTAAATGAGTCTGAAAGTCAACCACATAAAACAAAACTTAAATGAACATTTCATTCGAAATGCGTTAAATTAACCATAGCAATATTTGTAAATAGATAATTACCTTCAAAATATGTAAAATACGTACAACGCATAAACAGATAAAAAGCCCACATTGACAGAATCTGCCAAGCTGTCATTTCTGTAGCTTCACAGATATCTCTTTACGCTTTCACACACTCTCTGTCTTTCATTCAGGGAGAGAAAATGACGTGAGATAATAGCAGGAATACATAGATGACAACAGATTCTTTCACAGGCTGACTGGAATGGAGGAAGAGGCATGTCAAGACTTCAAACAGAGAGTGAGATAGAAAGAGAGAGAGACGGAGAGAGTGAGACAGACCAAGAGAGAGACACTAAGTGGAGGGTGTGAACAGATGTGTATATGGGCAGTGACAGATTTCCAACCGAGCTCTCATGCAAAAGCCAGCAACAAACCCATGATGATGACAATGATGAAGGACGAAGGCGAACCCATGCTACGTGTTTATTCCTGATGGATCACAGAGAACACAACTGCAGATTGATCCTATTAAGATAAGCCTGAATCAAAAACGTGCAGGGATGTGTTTTCCACCGCATCTATTCAGAGTTAAACTCTATTTGCATAAACACCCAAGTGTGTGTCTTGTGCACGTAAGCACCATTTTTGCCAATTAGAATTTACAACAATATAGCAATCTAGATTTTCTACATATTCTGAAGAAAACACGAGTTTTACTTACGAGTCCATGCTGTGGTGCTTGCCAGGGTGTTGCTATGTTTTTGTTTTTTTATAAAAAAAATTTAATTTATTTTTATTTGGGTCATGTATGAACCTGAAATAAATTCATTACGTTTAATTCAAATTCTTAAAGCAATTACCAAATTGCATATTATTTTTTTCTTTTCATTTTGCTCTCTAAACCTACCTAGAAATCAAATAATCATAATTATTTTATTCTAATCGACAGCACTTGTTTTTACACAGTAAGCAATGAAAAACAAGTTTGGTGAGGGAAAAAAAACAATTATTAATAATTAACACTAATTACATATATTTATACAAATAATTGACATATAACACACACACACGGATTCAATGATGAATAAAAATTAAAATAAAAATAGATTTAGAAATTTAACATTTTTGCAGAATAAAAGTATTAATTTCTTTAAGAAAAATAAAGAAAAATCAGCATATTAGAATGATTTCTGAAGGATCATGTGACACTAAAGACTGGAGTAATCACTGATGAAAATTCAGCTTTACCATCACATGAATAAAATACATTTTAAATATATTAAAATAGAAAACAGCTATTTTAAATTGTAATAATATATCACAATATTATTTGCATTTTTGATCAAATAAATGCTGCCTTGGTGAGCATAAAAGACCTCTTTCAAAAATATAAAAAATCTTGCTGATCCCAAACTTGTATGATGTGTGTGTGTGTGTGTGTGTGTGTATAGAGAGAGGGGAATATTTAATAGTTATTTTGTTTAAATCCCTAATCTTAACTATGTGCAGCAGTAAGAGGCATACTTGTCTTAGCAAAACAACTATTAACTTTATGTAACAAATTCCTCTGGAGTGACTGGGAGCAGTGTGGTGTGGGTACGCTTTGTTTACTGTTATGATTCAATTACAAACAAACATAATAACAGCGACTGTTAGTGGGAAATATGCAGGTGTTTTCCTGATGATTGTGAAATTGTTTGTGCTGATCTAACAGATGGTTGGAGCAGCTCTGCAGCAAGTGTTGTTTAAAGCACCCCAGGCAAAACTGGCCCTTAACTTTCTGATCTTCAGCAAACACAGATATTTAAGCCCACACACACGTCATGATGTCAAGAGACAAACATGCAATCACAGACAGCATGGGCTGGAGAGCATTCCAGAGAGACAGGACACACATCCTTTACCGCAGATGGCTGTCGCTGTGTCGAGCGCTGTACTTCTTCAGCTAAAGGGAGGGGGAAAAAAAACTCCTCGAGCCCCAGAAGTAAACAATGATGAATGAGCCGAGCTACTGCTGTAAAATACAGCCGAGTGTACTTACGCCTGTTCATTTCATTTGACTAATTGAAAGAGCGCAAAGAGGCGAGCTATATTTCACCGCGTTATGAAGCAGGTCGCATTTTTAATTTTTTGGTCTTAGGGCGCAGTCTGAGAAGTGGATAGCCCAAGGCCAGTCCTGCTATGACCTGAGAGCTCGCCTAACCCTGTCAGACATAAAATCTGCATTATGCTCAAATTGATGTATTACTATGTGACACATTATGAATATTACATCACAAACACACAGCTGCTGTCAGTCAGGGAAAGAATAGTCGTCCTCTACACCAAGTGAAGCATGGGAGACATTGCGCGAGAGAGGCGCCTATTGGGTTCATCTGTATTGTAAATGATTCATACTGAACACAGTGTCAAGAAAAATGCACTTAGGTCTAAGGTAGACAAAGAATGTGTTTCTCCCTCCCTTCTTCCCACCACTGGGTTTTATGTTGAAAACCTGACAAATGGTGGTAACATAGCGTGGCATTGCACTCCCATAGGCCTGGGCTTGATAATGAATGCATCGTTTCATCTTGTAGGAAAGGATAGCAAACACTCATTTGTGGTTAGCACAATTCACACATGAAATCGATTTTGCAAGTCTACGAAAAGAAAAAAAGGAGGTGAGTAGCTTTAGGAGGAGTGTGGTTATAGCCTAAAGTATCAGTCTTTGCTTGTGCAATGTGATTTATGGTGTTGTGCAACAGCCGTTCATCCAAATAAAAGATTACTGAAAGTTGCCGAACTACACACTCCTGGGGTATTTCAATTTTTTACCAGAAGAAATAAAAACATATCAAAACAAATATTCATGATTGCCTACTTTTACAGTAAATGGTGGGACACAGACACGTATCAAAAGTTTTATTTTCTTTATTTAGTTTTGAATCATTATATTATTTAAATATCACAATTTAAAATAATTGCTTTCTATTTTGAATATATTTTATTTTTATTCCTATGATGTCAAAGTTGTATTTTCAGCATCATTACTCCAGTCTTCTGTCACACATGATCCTTTAGAAATCATTCTAATATGCTGATATGGTGGTGGAAACATTTATTTTTATTATCAATGTTGATAATAAGGTAAACAGTATCTTAATATTTCTGTGGAAATCACAATTTATGTTTTTTTCAGGATTCTTTGATGAACAGAAAATTCAAAACAACAGTTGTAACATTATAAATGTCTTACCTGTTATAACATTGATCAATTTAATGCATTCTTGCTAAAATAAAAGCATGAATTTATTCCTAATTAAAATGTTATTCAAATTAAAATACTCCTAATTTAGTGTTGTTAATTTTCCAAGTTTAAAAGCCCAAATTTCCAAGGATTTGTCAGATTTTTGTATACCCCTGTATGGAACAGACTTCACAGAAACAAATGTCTCAAATTCAAAACCACTTTGTAAAGTACATGTTCATCAGTGTAGACAGTGTTCTGACCTGTATCTCTGATAGTCGTCTTCATCTTTATCCATGCTGACCAGTTGGTTGGGACAGGCCTCATTTCCCAGAAGGCTCAGGTATTCCAGCGCTGGCGTCACTTCCGCCAAATGCTCCAACAGGGCCTCGATGTCGGTGAAGTGTCACGGGGCAGAGGTCAAGGAATCCAGGCTGTTAATTACATTAGCATTTACTCTGTGCTCTCCACTGGCCTGGCCAGCCAGAAGAAATCTGTCTGAAACCCTCGGAATGAGCTTAAAAGCAATTGTGCTTGAGAATACAAAGAGTGGGTAACTTTAAGGGTGAGATTTTGGCATTTGCTGCAAGTTTGGCTGTTCTCTTCTCCTGTTCCTCTTCCCATTTCCTGGGTGGCTTGGTGCAGAACATTAAAAACATTGACAAAATGATGGATGCCTTGTGGTAAAAACAGTCAGTGACTCCCTAAGCCATGGACACCCCCCTCCCCTTCACCCAGCACAGGGAAACAAACAGCCACTTCACAGCAAATTCATCACCAATACATTCACGTCATTGGAAAATGGTGCCCGAAACGTGTCAAAATACAACCACACTAATGCAGCACTTGAATTTCAATGGCAGCAGGCCACTACAGGATGTAAATAATTGGCCCATTAGCATGTGCAGACCACTTCACAGCAGAATTCGGGTCTGAGCTGCTGACACTCTGTCGGAGGAGAGCTGTTTGGAGAACAGAGGGTGAGGCTGCGTCATTATTATGTAGATGGATAGCATCCAGTGACAAACAGCAGAGCATAAATTTTCATCAGGCTAGCACATTTACTTTTGCCATTTACTTCTCTTTGCGTCTCATCACACAAACTAAATGTAACGAGTCGCAGTGATGTAATTGCTGAATGTCAACAGACAGAAACCTGAAATTTCCAGTCCGGCTTCAAAGATTTACTTTTGGCGTGGGGTGGCTGGTACGTTAGCTTATTAAACGGCTAACGCTACACTGTGAAATTTATAAGTTCAAATATTGGTTAATAAACTCTGTTTGCTCTGCTTTCTGGTCATGAGGCCCATACTGCAACTACGATATGGGTCACCATATGATACGATCTGTTTCTAAGAAGGACGCCTAACAGAGCTTTATCCTTCAGTCATGGGACTGTACCGGTTTTGTTCCCCCTTTGTTTTTCGCCTCTCCTCCACTAGAGGTCACTATGGCACAAACTCAAGTGAGTTTATAAAGCAAGCCCATTAGACAGGAGCTCAATTTAACACAATAACATAATTTAAAGAGACCCAGTGTGGAGATCCTGCACTGCATTGCAAAGAAACTCGCAGCATATCCTGTCATTTTGGTTAAGCATGAGAGCTGAAAAGCAAAGGATATTTGGTTCTTATTGAGTGTCAGGGTATGGAGCCGTGGTAACCTGGGCAACTGGAGGTCATTTCCGAGAAGATTGTTGTCCACAATCAGCTCTTCCAGTCGGCTGAACGCTTTCAGGCCTGTCAGTGACCTGCAATGATAAGGCAAGAGAGGAAAAATGATATGGCCCTAAATCTGGGCAGCCATTATGTGCAGAAATAAATATTTCAGGCGAGCCCTTTCACAGGCCGGAATAGTTTGGGCTTGGGACTGTCAGGAGAGTGAATGATAAGAATTAGTGGCGCTAAGATCCCCTGGCATGGTGCGGCATCCTTCACACGCTGGCAGCGTGAGTGATGAGGGTCACTCGTGAGTACCCAGGATTCAAAACAAAAGGGCTTCAGAAATGCAGTGCGCGGGATGAATTTGTCAATGTCTTGTGCCTTCAGGCACCCAGCTTTGCCTGACCCTAACCCTCCATTCCCAAGATAAATAACTCTGTCACAGTTCACCTTCACTCCCCCAACACAAATTTAACTCGTCATCCATCATTTTCCCAGCACAGCTATAATGCCTAGCCACAAACGGAATGAGTACAACTTCTGCGATGAGCCGCTTGCTGTTAAAAACAACTGCTTTACGGGGGGAAAAGTTTGATGGTTCTCCCTTTATTCCCCATCGTGACACCCAATCCCACACAGGCACGCAGGCACGCCGTCCCCAAGGACTTTCCCTCTGTCTGGGTCTCTTCCCCGCCCTGCGCTGGCATAAACATGATGGAGGGTGGTGCTCAGGGTAATGTCGGGCCTTCCAAAGTTCATGGCGTGGAAGGTGCATAAAAGCCGGGGTGTGTGTTTCTAATCCCTCAAATGGCAGAGGCTGACAACCTACAACGTTAATGTGTCCACCCTTGGTTAATTGACATTTAGGTCTGTCAGCCTCCTCAAGCAAAGAACAATTCGATGGCGACTAGATGCTAGACTTCGCCACTCTTGGAGCGAAACGGAAAAATAACACCTGCATATCATAAACTTATGGATTTTGTTGTCGTGAGACCTTTTGTGGTACAGTAGCATGGAAAATCCCAAGGCAATCTGGAAGGAGCTCACAGGAGTAAATGTTGATATCTAGCCAGGTGAAGTCTGTCTTTGGAAGACACCCAACTATTGTAGCAACGAACAAATCGGCCCTGCTGTCAGTGTCATAAAACTCTCTGTTGTGTTATGCAAATACCTCGCTCTTATCGTGCAGAACACGGCTGATGAAATTTTATGGGCTTTACAAGAGGAAGAAAGCAAACTTAAAGAAGCAGACGGCCAAGAACTCCAACCGCAAGAGAAATACGTTCTATTTGTATTGTCAAATTGTGCAAAATTCAGAGAAATGTCCCTGCTCGATAAACGAAAGCTGTTCTGTGAGCCCCCTCCACCTGTTTGCCTCGGCTGTTTCTGGGCGGGTGTAATGTTATTAGCCGCTTAGTTAAGAGGCATCCGTGCGTCGCAGGGGGGTTGCTTATTAATTGTTGTTTTCGTGTCACTACTGCTGTGTGCAAAAGGCGATTTAATCAGTTAAATTCACAGCCAAGGGAGCGGCCAAATCACATTCACAACAACAAACAGGGATTCAACCCTAATTTGCCCACAACACGTTGTGCCTAAACATTTGCACTGCTGTATTATATGCAACATCTGTACAGTGCAGAAGAGCAAAACTTTCAAAATGTGCCACTAACTGAATGATTAATTGCCAAATGCTTTTAAAGGAACAGTTCACCCAAAAATGAACATTCTGTTATTTATTCACTGAAGTCCTGACTATGGAAACCAAATTCTGCCTATGAGTAAAAAAAAAAATATATATATATATATATATAACAGTGAGATTACAAGATAGATCAAACAAAATAAAATACAGAAAAATTGCTTCAACTGATAAAAGTGGTGCAAAAAAGATTCTAAGACATATGAAAAGTATAGGATATGAAGTTGCAGAAATGGCTTCTACATATTTTAAACCCCATAGCTTGCTATTTTGTCCATGGAATGCAAAGAGAGAAATGTTAAAGAATCTTTATGCAGCTCGTTTTCACAGTTCACAGTTCATAGTCTATATTATATTTGGTTTTTATTCACAGATAATCTTGCATGTTCAATTTACCATGCAACATTTGGCTACGTCACACTTTAAAACACCTAGAATATAGAGCACATGGTGCACTACTTTTAATGACACCAATTTGTAATTTATGCTTCCTGCATCTTGACTACTACGTACTTGCTTCAAAAAGTACAATGTACTACTACTTATTGTGTTCATATTGTATTGCAAAACACTTTTGCTGCTATTGAGGTGGGATACGGGTGAGGTTAGGTGAGGGATGGGCAGGTTTAAAAGTGGGTTAAGGTGTAAGGGATGGGTCAACGGTGTATTTATAAATGTAATTACAGAAATTAATTACAGATATAATTTCATGCACATATTTTAAAAATATAATTACAATGTAAAACCATGTATGTTCACATTAAGTGCATTGTATCAAATGATTCATTTAAATGTAAGTAGTTAAGGCTACCTAATATAAAGTGGGACCTTTTTTTAATAAAGTTTGCTTACCATGTTCATTTTGTTGTATGACACTTGTTTCAGACAATAAAAAACAACTTTAGGGTGAGTAAATCCTGAACAGGCACTTACAAAACTAAAAAAACATCAATACACAAGCAATCTAAAACTCAATCACACACAAACACGTTCAGGTAGGAACCTCTCCGACTCACACCTCGTCCCCATGGGGAATCCAAAACTGACTGCACATTTTCACCACCATCTTCAAAGTCACACCACAATGACAGAATAGCACAATGCAGGGAGCGCCGTTTGATCTAAGGCGAGAAGGAGAGAGATGGACGGGAAGACACGAGAGAAGGAAAGAGAGATAGATTTAACGAGCCATGCCAATGAACCCACTCCTTGTTAAGATAATTATGATCAAGCTCATTGTCACAGTAAATATCTCAACATGTTTGCCAGTGCGGCGTGTCTGCCTCTCTCTGCCTGAGTTAGCACACAGCTCACAAAACAGGAGATTTAGCTGCTAAACAACATAATGCGCTGGAAAAAACACATGATTACACAAAATAAATAAGGCGACCAAATGACCATGATACAAATTAAATACAGGTCAGAGATGGCTTGGTGGATAATGTGTGCACTCTAATGTGGTGGCGACACATGAGTGCTTTACAACGTTTACATTCATAACAGTTTGTAAGAAAAAAAAAGACAAAAAACATTTTTAGATTAAAATAGCTTGGATAAATCTGATCTTTGGGCACATCAAGCATATTATTTGGACGATTGAGCAACAAACAGGGTCCACAATTGAAACTCACCTAGCACCAAGTGTGCAGTTGAGTAAATAAAATGTAGTATGGAACTTCATAATGAAATGCAACACAATACACGGTTTAAGAAATATCTAAGAATGATAGTCTGAACCTAAGTGATATAAACGATCAAATCTAGTGACAGATGTTTTTGTTACCTCTGTAAAAAATTTACCATCAAAACTTTATCTAGGATGTTTTTTTTTTCTTCATTACTCCACGTGGCGACACATTTGTGGAAATATTCCCCTCATTAAACCACCAACACGAAAACGAGGAACAAAATCACGGTGTGTCTTCACGTTTTTGTGACAGGTGTAGTTTTACAGAGATACAGACACTAGCTCGTATATGATGCAGCTAATTATTGGGACAAACAGCATCTTGATGGTAACTATTGCTTGTAAAATCGGGATGTCTCGTAATCCAATTGTTAAACATAATGCCTAATGGAATGAGGAGGAGAAATACTGACAGAGAAAGTTGATAGAAGGTCAAACAATTACATTACTACCAAAGGTTACTTTAAAAAGATCCCGTGTAGATGGTGACAGTTTGCTGACATGCGAAACAAGCACTAACTGAGAACATCTAATTCCACGCCTCCTCAAAAGGCCGCCATGTAAATGCTGTTAAGCAAACTTTCAAAGCCAGGGCCTGTAAAACAAATTACTATGCAGACTATCCTCAAAAGAAGCCAAACAAGAGGACAAGAGCTCAGACAATGACACAGAGATGGCTTGACAGAGATGGATGGATCGATAGACAAATACTAATGCGGACATGCTGATTGATAAACTGCTGCTGACAACAGGGGAAAAAACACTCTGTGATTATTGGTTGAAATGTCAGTCACTGCAGCCATTAGTCAGCCAGCTTTCACAGGTCACATGTCCAGGGAGGGAGAGACAGAGAGAGAAAGAGAAAAGGAAAGAGAATTCAGAGATACACCTGCCAAGTTAGCAAACATTGCAAACCGCAACACAGCGTTCATTCAAACACACTCACGCTGCCTTTGTATTCGGAGTCTGCGTTCCAGCAGTGATCCCATTTAGCAAAAGCCTCCTTCTGTATGATATTCCCAGCTTTGATATTTCCCTTTGCTATGGCCAGTAATTCCCTTGTTTGCTCGCCGGTTTTAAAAGGCCTTTCTCTTCTCTGCTCTCTTTTTTGAGTCCCTAGTGTGTCTGTTCTTGACAGAGCAGCTCTGATCATCCTTTGATATTAGTCTCTCTCATATCCTTGGCTCTACAGTGTCACCCATGTGTCTGGAGCCAAAACAAGGTCCCAGAACCGCCACGGGCGATCTAGGCCGTACATACTCACCAGCTGATCTGCAACCAGCACCACGGCTCGGTCTCAAAGAACGACTCTGGTTCGGTCAACAGCACAAGTGTCTTTTCCTGTGCGAGGATTGGAATCCGACTTTAGACCTTGTTTGAAAGTTAAAGAGGGGAGATTTAGCATCAAAGCTGTCTCCGGTGTAGGAAAAGTTATGTTTTTATTCCGAAGTGGCTGCGAAAGCTTGGGAGTGACAGGCAAATTGACACGCTGTTCACAGGGCAAAAGATAAATGTTTGATGAATTGGCCAATCCGGTTGGAGTGATGGGCTTCATATGTGCATAATGGACTGGCTGCCTGGCAGTTTTGATTGCCTGCCAAGATAAGACACTATAATGAATGAAAGAGGGAAGCGGGGTTGTAAAAACAGCGATTGAACTGGTTTTAATAAATGTAAAAAAAAAGGAAGGAAGAAAAGATGCA